CACTCTTTCATTAGTTGGTTAGTCACTCTAGAGGGGCACTCGAAAATAGATATGCCTTTCTTGAGTAATAAAAGAATTTAAAAGAGAATATATATACATATACCAGAAGTATTTTACAATTATAAATCCGTAATCTCAATAATACTAAACCAATTTAATTTCCAGACTTGTTACTGTTATGCAAGAAAATTTATTATTACCGGTAACATGTAACTTGCAATTCTATTAGTAATTTTATGAAATTATTGAAATTTGAACGCTATTGAATTACTAAACAGTGTGAAGAATTTGAGGGATTTTTAATAACTGGAATTATATGGATAATGTAGATACTTTATGCTTCTATTATTTATTTAATAGGAATAAAGTTTGTAATGTAAATAGTAGAAACGTATGATAAATATTTTTCGAAAGAAACGAATTTGCATTTGTAACATAACCACTAATAATTTCTGTTAAAATGTTTTGATGGTATTCGTATAAATAACGTCAGGCTCGTTTATGTCCCTTTGGTATTGACGTTTCGAAATAAACATATAGATTTAGCGTTTTGACCAGGAAAATTATATTTTATCGCATAACTACCGTTATATTTATTCAGTTTTATACGAAACATCAGTTTAGGTAAATGGGCTCTTTCGTGTTGCAATTTTTTTATATATGTCTTTTGCATTTATTAAAAATATCCTTTTATAACATTTTCATTCTAAAATTCAAAAATTTTCTGCTTAATTCTATTCATCATTCTTATTTTATAAAATAATAATTTGCTATTATAAATTTTATACATGAATTTATATGTGTATAATAATTTAAACAAATTTTGAATTTAGTAATTAAGATAAAATTATATTTCTTGTCTATAAATTATTTAGAAGGTACGTTAATAACAAATTTAAATTTTATGTTTGAAAACGTTGATTTTAAATTCATTTAGAATAATTTGTTTTGAGTTTAAAGTTATATTAAATAACTAAGTATATACTGAATTTTTAATATGCACGAAACTCTCTTTAAATACTTACTAAAATCATAACCATGCGATGACGTTTTTATTTGGTAATAATAAAATATTTATTCGTCAAATATAGTTAAGTGCATGCTTTCGAAACAATATTCGTATTTCCATTTGTTATAAAATAAATATAATTGCATTTATATTATTTTAAAAACTGCAGTTTATAAATATGATATTTATTTTAGATATAATATCTGTTTATTTGTTCACTATATAATGTTACAATATTCCTATCTCTGCTCTATATTCATTTCATATTTTTGCTATTTATTATGACAACATCCGTTTAAACTATCAATTATTCGCTCGAATATTTCTTAACTCGTGCTCATTTGTAAACATACTTATAACTTTTGAATGCAATAATCTCTCGTATTCCAATTACTGTGTGTCTTGAAATTTAACATCTTTACAATTTTACCTTACCCTGTAACCACCCTCAAACTGCCCTCTAACACCTAGTATCAATAACGTATTAATCAATCTCCAAATTGATTCAATTAAGAAATTACACAAATGAAACAGAAAAAGTCAGAAACGATGAAATATCGTATAATATTTTCTTTATGAGAAAGCCAATAAATGGACACGAGGAATGTACATTTAATAGTAATAATAGGTGGATTCAGTGCTAGAATTGTGTACTTTAATTCAGGGAGCCTGGTCCAAGCGATCGAGTATGTGTGCTAAATTAAATGTCGGTCATCCAAATTAAGCTGTCCCTGATATTTGAATAATCTATTTGAACAAGCCATTCTATCGCGTACGGTCCATGTGGAAAGTAATTATTGTTCACGAAATGAAGTGTTCTTTGGCGAAATGTTTCGCGAATCTTGGTTAATAGAATCACACGAAATCCGGTATTAAGCTCAGCAACATTGCATGTTCAAAGTATACGTATCGGATACTTGAGCCCCTGATGGAGTAATTACATTTTCATCTTGGTAGGTTGGTTACTCCGAAGGAAGTGATACGTCTTCAACGTGTACAGATAATAGGTGTAGATATCTAGGCAGGTATTATGAGCCTAGAATGGCGTAGTTTAACAGCGAGTTGGAGAATTTTGCAAGGATGGTGTAGGGATCATAAACGATATGGGGAGACTTATGAAGATAGTGTGGCGAAAGTAGCTTTATTTTTATTACTTAATGTTACTAAGTTTTTAATAAGAACGGTTGAAAGCTTTACTTATGTTAGTAATAAAAGTTCATACAGTAGTGTAACAGTACATTAGTATAGTAAAAGATCTATATGTTGGTATAGTAAAAGTTTATACACCTTTCCCGAGTAAGCGTCTTAAGGTAGCCTTAAAACGATTTTCCATTTAACTCACTAGCGCCACCACGGCCCATATCTCCAATAATTTGTATGCCTGATTTTGATCAAATTATATTTCAATGACTGTACGCAAATTTTACTAATTTTCCATACTTGAAATTAATTATGATTTTGGTATTCTTACTCAATATTTATACCCAAAAATAATATTTAACAAACCTGTGCAAATTATTTTTGAAATAATGGCGTTTCTGACCTGTTTCCATTATCTTTACGTTATCTTAATTTAGTTTTAATATTCGTCATATTAAAAATGAGATTCAATGAAATATATTTTGATAGAAAATTGTTTTTGAATTTTTGTCCACTGTATACTTATACCCCAAAATAATATTTAACCGCCTGTACAAATTCTTGAAACAATGACGTTTCTGAGCTGTTTCCATCACCTTTACGTTATCTTAATTTAGTTTTAATACTCGCCATATTAAGAATGAGATTCAATGAAATATATTTTGATAGAAAATTGGTTTTGAATTTTTGCTGAAATCAAATCTGTGAAACAATAAATTTTTAATAGCAGACTTATGAAATATTGTCAGTAAATAATAATTTATTTATTAATTTAAGGTTTTAAAACATTATTTATCGCACAGATTATTTTGTCAAGACAATTGCATATGCAATTTTTGCATTTATTCAGATAGAAACGTAATTATATCTATTTACCATCATCATACAACGTTAATTAACTCTTTGATAACATTTAATTATCTCCGTGTATTATATTGAGGTACGTGTGTATTACAGGTAGTTTCAATGTTAATCAATTTTTGATTTGAAGAAGCTAATATGCAAACAGCTTCGTCAAAAGTGTAAATAACTTAATTCGAAGGATAATAGTCTTACTGGCAATCAGAGAAAATAGTTAAGTAACTACTACCTAACTCTGGGCCACACCTATGCTGTTACCGTCTGCCAACCCTGTAGATTATTAGCAGGAACAATAAAATTGCCATTACCTATACCAAGGATATAACTTTCAGTCTTGGTTCCTGATTAGAACTGTACGTTTAAGCTAATGTAGACGCAGAAAATGCATTTTCTATGACTAACCGTCAAAGTATAACCAATTTACGCTTATTATACGACCGGAAGGTAATAACTATGACGGTAATAAAGTAATAAAACTATACTGTAGATATAGGTATATTGCTATAGGTATATTACTATAGGTGACTATAGTCGTTCGGCAAAAATCATTTTCGTGCACTGGGGCGACTATAGTCATTAACCATCTGGTAATCTAAGTATATACATTCGATAGTCACATTTTTTGAAATAATCTAATTGAAAGACAAACGACAGTAAATAATAGAGAAAGGAGAGAATTATTGCGGTATATTAATAAATTAATACTATTATTATTTATAATAATAAATTAATTCTAGCAATTGGTTCACATTAGTATTAATACTATCAATATTAATAACATTATAATATTATTTATACTACATGTTTGACATCAACTTGAGTTCACATACTCTATTCTTATTTTTATCACCAAATATTATCAGTAAAATAAATTTATTTATTTAATTTAGTAGAATAATATGATATTAAATTTAATTAAATTTCTTTAATAATAATTTTCCAAATTTCATTGTACATTTACTCTAATACATGAACGAAGAATTATGAATAGAATAAACGTGAAGAGAGTTAGAGGGTGCAAGTGAACTTGTTAAATCTTTCAAAACTCTCTTGTATCTTTGGTGCCGGTTGTAAAAATCGGTTTCTTATCGGGAATGGAAAATATATGGTGACTCCAGATGTAAAGGGAATTTTTGGAATACTATCACGGGACATTGGGTACTAGATATTTTTAGTAGGTTGATTGGCCAACCTTTGATCTATGAACAGCGAGCGAAGGGAAGATAGAAGGGAAGAAGGAAAAACGATTCAATACTTCCGAATCTGCAGCAATCATACGCGAAACTATGTGGGCGATTTATGGTAGTCTCATAAGCCCGTTGACCTGGAAACAGTAAAATTCTTAGACAACCTCGACCAAAATTTTTAAAGATAAAACAATTTGCTAAATGCATGACAGTTTTGGCTCTGTATGCTGTCTGTCCTAAGATAATCATTATATGAATATAAAAGTTAAAAATTTCTTGTATATCAAAATTATATTCTTTCAAACCATTTGTTAAATTGTAATAGAAAATTGAATTAATAATATCAACAATATTTATTATTTATAATTTTCTGTTTTTGGATTGTGTATAATGTGTCATATATAATAAATAAAATTTATTTATTTATTAGAAAATATAGTATCAGTGTCTATGAAATTTGTGATGTATTTTTATATTAATT